ATTGATGGTGATTGATAGTTGCAGATGAGTGGTGGTCATAATTATGAAGGCTGTAAGTTTTCTTCAGGTCTTTAATATAACATTATATCTTACAATTGTATTTGTGATGTTAGCAAGTAGGGTTTGCTAACTGCGGCGAGCAGAGATGGCCATTGGTGGTTGACGGTGACCGATGGAGCGGTGATCGATGGTAGTTGTGGGCTACAGAAGCCATAAGTTGTCGTCGGGTCTTCAACCCAGACCAAGCTCTGGAATCTCTTCTTCTCTCCTCTCAAGTGATGAGGGGGATCTATTTATAGGCTGCAGGGGAATCATGGTTTCGTTCTTTGACGAATTACTTTCTCAACCACTTTATTGAATTGCCGATATTGATCTCTATTGGTCATAGATATTTTTTTTCTTTCTGTGACTTGAATACATTAATGGCCTTAAAATTAAGCAATCATAGGCTTGTTGGATTCCCTTCATCGAGATGTTCGATTTGAATATAATCATATTAAATTTGGAGTTCATTTGACCATTCAATTGACAATTAAAAATCTCCAAATATGCTTTAATGGGTTTGATTGGACTTAGATTGCACCAATTTTGGTATCATTGGGGTTGTCTTGTCGAGACAATCAGTTTGACTATAAACTAGTTGAAATCGGGGAACTGGATGATATTGATTTTGAATTTTGAAAATCTCTCACATAAATTGTATAGAACTTTGTGCTTGCTAAAAAAAGTATTGACGACAAATCAGATTTATTTGTCAATTTTCTGTAAATTTTATCGTGTTCTATTAATTTGTTCGAATGAGCTTTATGTCTGATTCACAAATTTTCTTCATCATGTCGTAGAGCATTTTCAATTTTATTGCACACGCCATTTTCTTATGAGTATAATAACTGAAACGAAAGCCTTTTTATTGAAATTACTTTTCTTATGGAATTTGATGGAGTAATTGTAATATAAGCTCCTTAATATCTTATATCAAACTATTAAATGTTTATCACTTAAAAAGATTGATTAGGAAGGAATCAGTAGTCTTGTATTGAAAAAATAACTCCATTTGGAGCACAATGAGGGAATGTCTCTCACTGCCTCATTCTTGATCTCACACATCTACCTTATCTTGTTTCCTCGACATCTTTTGACCGCGTGATTCACGAGTTCCTATCATTCACCACCATTTCTCCAATATTGCTACTTCTACGCGAAAGCATTATTCGTTTTATTCATAGATTTCTTCTGATTCTCCATCTTCTATTTGTCCAAAGATTGCCTGCCGGTTTGATTCTTGTGATTGCATCACAAACCTTGAGGACAAGGTTGTAAGAAGCTTTGCTTTATCGATCGTAGATTATTCTCAAATTCTCATTATTTCTATGACTTCCTCGACCATGAGGGCAATGTCGTGTTCAAGGAGTCAATAATGAAAGAGTAATTGGAATATAAGATACTAAATGACTTGTATTAGGTGTTGTGGTATATTGAAAATAGAACGATCGACGACGAAGTGAAAAAAAAAATAGAACGAGAAAATTCACACCAGAAAAGAACACACTGATTTAAGTGGTTCGACAAACTTTGTTTACATCCACGGAGTTGCAGAGGATTTTAGTACTTGAGGAATTTACATTATCGTTGTTCACGTCGACAATTATAAGAACTTCTCTCTCCCTGAAACCTTCACTTCATCCGCAGTTGTTGGCTCTGATACCAGGCCTTAACTTGCTCCTGCTTATGTTCTTTGATTTTGATCTTCCCCTGTTTGAATTTAGGCCTTGACTTGCCAAACTCGAACCTAAGATCTCGCCAGAATCTTTCCTGCGCACCTCCTCAGCCAAAATCAAATCACGAATATCTTCAAATTTCAATTTTGATTTACCTGCAGAATTACTGACAAGCATCTTCATAATTTCCCAGCTATTTGACAATGAAGCCAACAAGATCAGTGCACGTATCTCATCATCAAATTTAATTTCCACAGACAATAATTGATTTGTGATAGTATTAAAATCATTCAGGTGTTGTACAACAGATGTACCTTCCACCATCTTCAAATTAAATAGAGGAACTGCAGAAATCCTAAGAAAAAGGAGAATGACAGTGCAAATGTGGTAACTGAATAAACACATGATGTACTACTGCTGATAGTTCATAGTTTTGTTGATGACTGGATACTGGATTCAGGAGCATCTTTCCACACAACTTTCTATTTGAAATTGATATGGAATTATGTTGCAGGCGACTTTGGGAAAGTATAAATGGCAGATGGAGAAGCTCTGAACGTGATAGGAATGGGAGATATTGACATTGCACTTCCAAATAAGAACAAGTTGACTCTGCAAAAGGTCTGACACATTCATGAATTGAAGAAGAACCTCACTTCTATTAGGCAGCTTGATGAGTGTGGATATGCAGTAGTGTTCTCAGATAGCACTTGGAAGGTTACTAAAGGAACACTGGTACTGGCTCGGGGTAAGAAAACATGTACGCTATATATGCTTACTAGTTTAATTAACAATGTTGATACTACTGTTGAAGAGAGCACAGTAGAGTTGTGGCATTGCAGACTTGACCACATGAGTTAGAGAGGTATGAAAGAACTTCAGTTCAGAGGTAAGCTACCATAACTGAAGTAGTTAATCTCGGCATCTGTGAGAGTTACATTATGGGGAAGCAGAGGAAGGTCAGTTTCTTGAAGGGTGGCAGGACGCCAAAGGCAGGAAAGCGAGATCTTGTGCACACAGATGTGTGGGGACCTTTTTCAGTGGCGTCTCTTGGAGGCTCTCGTTAATACGCCATATTTATTGATGATCATAGCAGAAAGGTATGGGTTTATTTCTTGAAGTATAATCTGATGTATTCAGTGTGTTTAGAACTTGGAAGACCATGGTTGAGATAGAGACATGCTTAAAGCTAAAATGTCTAAGGTCTGATAATGGTAGTGAGTACATTGATGGTGGGTTCAAGGAGTATTGTGCAGCTCAGAGAATCAGAATGGAGAAGACTACTTCGGGGACACTACAGCAAAATGGTGTTGCAGAGTGCATAAACACGACCATTAATGAGCAGGCTAAAAGCATGAGATTGCATGCCAGACTATCACCTACTTTCTGGGCAGAAGTTGTCAGTACTGTAGTTTATTTGATCAATAGGGGGTCATCTGTTCCATTAAACTGTGAATTACCTGATGAAGTCTAGAGTGGGAAAGAAGTCAAATTTACTCACCTTAAGACTTTTGGATGTCTTTCTTATATTCTCATTAATCCTAATGCTCGAAGTAAGCTTGAGGCTAAGTCAAAGAAGTGTTATTTTATTGGCTATGGAGATAAGACATTTGGATATCGTTTCTGGGATGATCAGTGTCGGAAGATCATAAGGAGCAGGAACGTGATTTTCAATGAGAAGCTTATGTACAAGAACAAGTCCAGTACAGTTTCTGAAACAACACTGAAGGAATATGGGTTGGTAAGATTTGATGATTTACCAGAGGACACAGTGCAGGACAGAGATGCAGTTGACGAGGAGAGTGGATAAGGGGCATCCACTCCTATTGTTCCACAGTCAGTTTCAGAGCAGTCTACCCCTACAGTTTTAGTTCGAAGGTCAGAAAGGGCTAGACGTTCTCCACAACGTTATTCTCCATCTTTGAACTACATTCAGCTGACAGGTGGTGGAGAACCTCAAAGTTATGAAGAAATATTGCAAGATGAAAATTCGAGCAAGTGAGAGCTTGCCATGAAGGAGGAGATGAATTCTCTGCTTGAAAGTCGGACTTGAGAGTTGGCAGATCTTCTATCTGGGAAGAAGGCATTACACAAAAAGTGAGTGTATCAAGTGAAGACTGAGCATTATGGCAATAAAAGGTACAAGGCTAGACTTGTTTTAAAGGGTTTTCAGCAGAAACACGGTATTGATTATTCCGAGATTTTCTCTCGTGTGGTGAAGCTTACAACCATCAGAATGGTACTGTCTATGGTGGCTACTGAAGATCTCTCCCTTGAGCAGTTAGGTGTGAAGACAACATTTCTTCACAAGGATCTTGAAGAAGACATCTACATGCACCAACCTAAAGGGTTCGTGGTACCAGGAAAGGAAGAGTCAATTTGCAGATTGAAGAAGAGCATGTATGGTCTGAAGCAAACTCCTAGACAGTGGCACAAGAAATTTGATAATTTCAAGCACAGTGCAGGGTACAACAGATGTCAGGCAGATCACTATTGTTATGTCAGGTATTTTGACAATTCTTATATCATTCTACTGCTGTATGTGGATGATATGCTTATTGCACGTGTTAGTATTGAGGATATCAATAATCCGAAGAAGAAGATGTCAAAGCACTTAGCAATGAAGGATTTGAGAGCGGAAAAATAAATCATTGGTATGAGAATTGTTAGAGATAGAGTCAGAGGCATGTTGAGACTCTCTCAGGCTGAGTATGTGAAAAAGGTACCTAGCAGGTTCAACAAGGCCAAACCAGTTGGCACACCCTTGGGAAGTCACTTCAGTCTCAGCAAGAATCAGTCACCCAGGTCAGAAGAGGAACAAGATCACATGAGTAAGGTTCCTTATGCTTCAGCTATTGGTTCACTTATGTATGTTATGGTTTGCACCAAATCGGATATTGCCCATGTAGTGGGAGACGTTACCAGATACATGAGTAATTCTAGAAAGGAACATTGGGAAGCAGTGAAGTGGATCTTGAGGTACCTAAGAGGCTCTGCAGAAACTTGCTTGTGTTTCTCAGGAAAGAGTTCAGAGGTACGTGGCTATGTTGATGCTAATATAGTTGGGGACATTGATACCAGAAGAAGTACTACATACTATATTTATATTTTTGGTAGCACTGCAGTATCGTGGAGCTCTAATATGCAGAAGACAGTTTCATTGTCTACCACAAACGCTGGGTATATAGCAGTGTCAGAGGCTGCAAAAGAGATGATATGGCTACAGGGCTTCTTGGAAGAATTGGGCTAGAAGAATCATAAGATCATTCTCTACAGTGATAGTCAGAGCGTCATATACCTTGCCAGAAATCTAGCATTTCAGTGCATGACTAAGCACATTCAGATCAAGTATCACTTCATACGGTCATTGTTAGATGACAGACAGTTGTTGCTTGAGAAATTTTGTAGAAGCCAGAACCCTGTTGATATGTTGACAAATGGTGTTACTCTGGAGAAACTGAAGTTGTGTGCAGCTTCAGTTGGTCTTCTAGCTTGAAGATAATGGCATTGAGTTGCAGAGGTGGAGGATAACACATTTGAAGAAAAAGGCTACGCCACTAGTGGAGGATATCAGTTTGAGGAAGAAGAAGTTGGAGTATGTGTACCGGTCTCCAAGTGGAAGATTTGTTGAGTGTGGAGCCCGGTAGAGAAAAACAAAAGAAAAAAAAACCATAACTACTCCCATTAACTTCCTCCCCTGTCTCTGTCTCTCTTTCGTGAACAAAATAGAACCCTCTCGTTTCAGTCTCTCTCTCTCTCGCGAAACAGGAAGCTCCCATTTTCGCGAATAGAAAAAGAAGTGCTCCCTATCTCCGACTCTCGCTCGCGAAACAGAAACCTTGCTCCCTCTGCGCGTCTTTGTTGAAGGTCTGGTGGTTCAATCAAGAGGGAGGAGTCGTTACTCCCTTGATATTTCTCCTCGGCAGGTGTTTTTGCAAGGTGTTGTTTTTGCGTGCTCTGCAGAAGGGAAAAGAAGATAGTGGAAGAAGAATGCTGCTCTTCTTGATTACTTCTTGTTAGCTTGTGACAGAAGAGAAATAGGTTTTTTTCTCTTGTACGTATTTCTTCTTCTTCGGTGTTCTTGCTCTTGGGTAAATCTTGGTGTAAAGAGAGATAGGCAGATTGATGCATTTGCTAGACTTGATTTGCTTTAGTTTAGGTGGCCTACATCCGATCGGCCTCTGGCCTCAGTTCAGGAGGTTCTATCTAGTCATATGGTCCCTTGGTTTCATACCAGTGGAACCTCCTTAGATGCACTTTTATGTCTCCTAATTTGTTGAATCATCTCGAGATTCGTAGAGGCGCATTCATGATGCACACATAAAAAAATACATTTTTATTTAATTATTTAATCATTTCAAATCATGATAAGCCGAACACGAACGAACATACATTAGTTTGTGTTCGGCTTATTTATAGTTCCAACTCGAAAAAATTATGTGTTCAACTCATTTGCTTAACCAATAAATCAAATACAAATTTTTAACGCGCTGAACATAAATTATTTGCGAATAAAGAGCACTTTTTATAGCCTTACATATCACTCATATTTTGGTGTTTTAATATAAACATCATGCTTAGAATGTATAAAAATAATAATCATGCCAGGCTGCTGACCTATTTGCAGACTTTCGTGAATTTATTAAACTAAGTGTGGTGTTTCACAGGCTTGCGAGATTTCAGTGAGCCATCTTACTTCGGGGCATATAATAACATTAATTATTTCGCTATAATACAGTTGCACAAGATTAACCAACTTAGGTAATGATTATTTTGAGTACAGTACAAAGGAAACCTTGCGAAGGATTATGTCTAAGTATTTGAGAATGTGAATGACTTATGAATGTTTGTGAGGATTGAGTTACAATAATTCATTATCCCCTCGGTTGATAAAAATAAGAATCATTTGCCTTTGTGGCACCACAATTGACCCTAAAAGAGGGTCAGTTCATATGGGATTACAAGATAATGTTGGTGATTGCAACAACAATAATTGGCTACAAAAACTTTAGTTGGTTACTATAATGACTATAAATGGCAACAAATTATTTTTGTTGATCGACAACGATCATTGGTGACTGGTGACTCAAGAGTTAAGTTTTAGCACTTACCCTACTCTTTTCTCTCTTCCCTACCCCTAGAAGTGAAGAACAAAGGTCTATTAGCAGTTTTTTTAGAGGGACATTTTGATAAATTTCATCGGGCAATCCACATTTAATCTCTCAATCACAAATAGTTTTTCCAAACATTTTAGTGTCTTAATGACATCATAATTGAATAATCATTGGCTAGTTGGATTCCTCTTGTCGAGATGCTCGATTTAACTAAATAATGCTAAAGTTTTAAGATTTTTTAGCATTTCAATCGATGCACCAACGCATTTAAATATTCAACCTAGGTTATTTTGAACTTCGATGAATTATTTTTAGTTTTATCGAGTTTGTATTGTCATGATGTTCATTTTGACTATAAATTTCTTGAAATCAGGGCTCATATAATCTTAAATTTGAATTTGAATTTGAATTTGAAATATTTCTTGCTCAAAATACATTGAGGTTCATTCCTCATCACAAAAATTTGTTGATGACAGTTCAATTATGTTAACATATTTAGATATATTTTATATTGAAAATATTTTTGTGATGCATATTTTTAATTTTATTCGGCATATGCTCTCTCTCCATAAAGTTAATTTATCAGATAAACAATCAAATTATTATATAATAATTATTCAAAAGATTTGTTGTATCGAGATATGATATAGACATGACATCCAAAGTAATGATATGTATTTTAAAATAGCCTATTTTAATGTAAATTGTATTAAAAAAATTTTATAATATGGGTGGATGGAGATCATCCTTTTTTTTTTATTTAAAGACTAATTATGATGGTTTGCACACAAGTGAAAATATTACATTTGGATCTCGAACTCTAATTAAAATTTGACGTGTGTTAAATATGAAAAATATTATTTTATAATCTAAAAAACAGATAAGCTCGGCTCATATTGATTATCATAGACAACTATGTTTTATATTATGACATTCACATCAAATTGTTTATTTGAATATTTTTCTGCTTAGTACAATATGATTATATTAAAGAAAAATATTCAATATTATAATATTAAACATCATGATAGGGTCGAAAAACTCAACCAATTTTGATTATCATGACTTTAATGAAGGTTTTCTTTAATATAATTATATTGTACACTATGACTTTCACATCGAATTATTTATTCAAGATTTTTTTTACTTAGCACAACATGAATGTACTGTGTTGTACGCTACGACCGGATCAAACCGGATCAAACTAATGATTTTTTCTACATTTTATAACAAAATATTATTTTATATAATTGACGGTCATCAAATTTTAATCAGAGATTTCGGACGTAATATTTTCTTTGAATACGACCCTAATATCTTTGTCCACACCAACCAGTTCACTTAAAATTTAAAATAAATAAACAAAATCTTAATATATACACTGAAAAAAAGGCCAAGTTGACAGCAGTCAAACTATCTCCGGCGAAAGCTGCTTTCCAGGCGGCGACAGCCGGTGGCGACACGGTGGACACGCC